TTCTACAGCTAGGAACATTTGCCAAATATCAGATTATGTTTGAGTGTGTCCACAAAACATGTGAATATGTTCCGCTGGTGCTACCTCTCTCTTTCAACAATTTTGTTGTTATTGTTGTTAACATAGCATAAATATATAAAGGAATAGGAAGTGCCAAATTTATCCTCGAGATAGGGAATTGTTCTGTCTGTTTTTAATGAAGGAGAGGTTGGGGGACAACTCTTGAAAAACTTTCTCTGAACCTTGAAGACAGTAATAGCACATATTCTTGAGGAGGTGGTATGGTGGTGCTGCTGCAAGATTGATCCTGCCCCCATCAATTTTATTTAGAATTTAGACAGTTTTGAGAACTATCCCTGAGAGATTATCAATGGAAGACCAATACAGATGTTCAACTTCTGGACCATTCTCACCACCTTTGAGATCATGGATTCTTCCTATTCCTGAGAATAAACATACAGTAACTAATGAAATTAGTGAGAATTATTTTATTTTATATGTAATGATTTAAAATATTTTTACCCCACCTTTCTCCTTGAAAATACCCAAGGCGGCTTACAACAATGAAAGACAATATTTAATGTTGAAAACAATGAGTATATAATGGTGGTTAACATCATTAAAAGGTGAGATTTAAAAAAGTATGAACAGTGAATAAGGAGGCATCTTACATCAGATAATATTAAGGCAAAGTCTTATGATGACTCCTCAAAACAAGTGGCTGCCTCATTCTGCTTAATGGTAGGGTTGGCCTGGTCCCTATAATGCAGAATCCTAGAAGACACACCAAACAGTATTATTGGGTGGTGAAGATGTTTTATAAGCTTTGTTGTGGATCAATTGAGGAGCTATATGGGCTTTTAAAATTGTTGCATTTCAGGCTTTGTCCTGAGAGGCCCTTGCACTTGTTTCTCCCTACTGCTGCTATCGTAGTGCTATTTTTAATACATATTTTTTCTTTCTAATTGGGGAAGTGCTAGTTCAGTATTAAAGATAGAAAAAAATAAAGCAAACACACACACACACGGGAGGAAGCAAAGGAATCAGGCTGGTGAGAGGGAAGGCACACCAGTTAGTGGCGAAGAGAAATTGACCGAATAAATTGTCAAGTCTGGCAAATGGATTTGAACTGTGCTCACTAGTGGAAACCCACAAGTATTCACTTATTACTTACTGTGACCTTGAATTACAACTTCCTTTTGTGAAAGATGAGGAAGGATCTTCAACTCCAGTACAGTTTATGCTAAGAAAATGATGCATATCTCTCTTCCCCACATAGACATTTTATCTTTTCATGATCTCATTTCTTCCCATATTTGGTTTTAGGGATAAACAAACTCTTTTTGACAGGGAATGGCAACCAGTTTTGGATTTTGAGAGAAACTCTTAGTAAAATTAATCCACTCCCATCCGTTTTAAGTGAAATCTTCGAAATCTTTCTTTTTTACTACCACAGTTGGGGTGTGTGAAATGACTTGATCAATGACCATATACAATATTCTATTACAAAGCTGCTTTTTTTGCCATTTCCCCAAAGGGCTATATTAGAGGCATATTTTCTTTACACACAGTGATTCCTATTCCTACTTAGGGAGGAAAATACAAGGAAAACATTTACTTACTGAAGCAATTTGGTTCTGGATCCCAGCCAGATCTAGTGCACACAATTGTTTGCCAGTGTGCCTTATTTGGTGGCAGAAAACCAGAATCACACCTATAATAATGTTTGTCACCCAGTCTTTTCGGAAATGATGTTGCTGGTTCGTTGCCATACACATGTCCGTTTGGTATGTCCAAATAGCCACAGTTTCTTACTTTGAAAAAGAAAAAAAGAATAAATGAGGGTATTTCACGAAAGAGTGTGTGTATACATATCCACGCACGCACGCATGTGCGCGTGCACACACACACATATACACAGAGCTCTCATGCATGCTACACTGTCCAAGGAACACACAAACATGCAAGCATTCCTTTCCAACATCCTTTCCCTTCTAAACCTAGAAGCAGGTATTGCTTTTAATGGCAGGTGTCATTATTAAATAACAAAGAATGCCTGGGGTTTGCATGTGGCTGGCAGGCTGTACATTGCGCACCCTCACCTACAAAACTAGAAGTATGTGATTTGAACAGTTTGAATCTTGAAGAATCCCCAAGCACACCATGAGCTGGTCAGAATTCCTCCCTTAAGTAATTGGAACCTCACTGGGTGGGAAAAGCCCTCAGAGTCTGAGTATGAACTGCTGCTGGGATTCTCACAAGTGCCTGCACCTGCTGGCTGGTGCATACCCAAAAAAGAATAAAAATAAAAATCCCAACAGGGACGTGCTAACGAGCTACTGAATGTTCTTCCATATGCCTTTTTCATGCGTTTTAAGCAACAGGACTTCAGTGAAAGTACATTATTTAGACAGAATTTATTTTTCTTCTCCCTGATGATTTCTAACTATTTAGGACAAAGGTAAGCTTCACTTTGTAAACAATGAATTCCTCACATTCACCCACCCCCTGTTCTGCTAAAGATGGAACACAAGGTGTAGACATCCAACTTGGATTTGAATGCCG